CCCCTCATACCGCATCTTATATGCCTGCCATATCACCATGTGAGCCGTTGCGAGTACCAATTTTCCCACAACTGTAACACCAATCGTAACGTTCCTCCGCAGTACCGAGCCACCGACGTTATCGCTAGCGATGGTGATGAGATAACCAATCCAGAAACACGTAGATATTACGAGAGAGATGGAAGCAAAGTATGGGAGAAGGGGTGCAGAGCCAGTTGGCGTTCCCTCAAACTAGATGATATCAATACGTATACTCTAGAGGTTGATGAAGAATTAAAGTTCTACTTACGAGACCTGTGGCCCAGACAGTAGTGAAGATAGCGCTGATCAAGAAGACGGGTGCACAGATAGTGTCTGTCAGCGCGCGTGAGGCATGAGTGTGCTTTGCGACGAGTCGATATTCGTTGGGGCGGGTGCGCTGCGTCGCTGCACCATAGGAAGGCAGAAGAGGTTCATTTGACATCGTCCAGAACACTTTGTCTAGGCAAATATTGGAAACAGAATATCTGGGTGGGAAGTGAGTGTTGAAGTCGGGGAAGAGAAGGTGGGGTAATCGAAGAGTGATGGTGCAAATGAGTAAGGCTCAGCCTAACTGTGCTACTTCGTTACCTTTTACAGGCGGCCTCTGTCATGCACTCGATGTTTGTACCGTTAAGAACCAAGGTCGGCCTGAAAGCAGATATGGATTTCTATTATGACCGATCAACCACAAACACATCATTCACCCACACTTGCACCATCAAGACCCCGATAAGCAAATACGGGATCTCGAAGTTTGGTAGTGGTTGCGTCGATCCTATCATATCGACAGCATCGAAAATTGTGTATGTGTTTCTCTTTGCAGAAGACGGAAGTTGAAGGAAGTGTAGACATTTTCCGGGCAAGCGTGATGTTATGGTATCGCTGAGTAAGGCTCACTTAACACAGATCGCTTGAGATGGCTCCCAGCACTTTAAAATATGTGTTTGACAAAACAATCTTTTCTAAATCCACTTCAAATGAAAAGTCTATCGTCAGTCACTCTAGCGAAATGAACATGCCAAAACTGCTCTATGTTCCAGGATCCAACAAAAACGCCTGTATCGTCTACCTCTTCCTTTTCTCTTCCTCTTCCCCCTTCTTCTTGGCCGCAGCCTTCTTCGCTTTCTCCATTCTCCCCACCGCAGCCTCTGCCCCAATTCCACCAAAGACCAGCCCAACACCAAGCCATTGCATGCCTGTAATCTCGTGGCCAAACCACCACACACTCCAAACCATTGTCAACATCTTTCTCGTAACCGTGACAGTAACAAGCAGCAACGAGCTGAAGTGAGCCAAGGTATGGAAGATGAAAACCTGGCCTATAGCGCCACAGGCTGAGAACATGAGGACGTCCCAGCCTACCGCGGGGTAGGTGGTTATGAAAGACAGCGCGTCAGAGAGTTCACCGGAGGTAGAACGGGGGTCGAGTCCGATCCAGGGAGCGAGGGGAGTGGAAGCGAGGAGCGGGGTGATAAGGAGGTATGAAACTGTCAATGCTGTAGACATGATATTCTGCGCACACATCATTTGGGGTCCAGTGAAGCCTTTGAAACTGCTGAAGATGTGATCTTGAACTGTGTTGGTCAGACCGTCGAAGAGTAGATTGACACCGAGTAGAACAAGACCGATGGTTTGCGACGCGTCCGCATTGACACCTTTCTTCGCGGCCTTCTTCGCAGTTGACGGGCTGTGCAAGGTAAAGACGGCTACACCCAGTGTTACAAAACCAACGACGGCGTACTTGTACATTGGGTACCGCTTCTGGAAGAGCGAGATGTGGAGGAACATGACAGGTAGCAGCTTGCAGCTTTTAGCCAAGATGAAGGTGACATAGTCGATGTGCTTCAGACTCGCGTATCCAAAGGGAGAAGCGAGCGACGAGGTGACGGCGATTCCAAGGAGCGGCACCAGGATGTCTTGGGAAGGGAATATAGGGAGCACTTTGCGAAGGCCGGTTTTGGGGTCTTTCTTCGCGGAGAGGTTGAGATATAGGAGGCCGGTCATGGCAGCAAAGGCGGATTGGACCGTATTGAGGAAGATGGAGTATGTGAAGCGCTCGTTCTTGAGACCGTGGGTGGTGGTCGTTAACCGCTCTTGGATCCATGCCCAAGTCATGCTGTCTTGCTGTCAGTCAGGGTCCTCGAATCCAATCTACCCTCGCGCCCTGTGACTTACAAACTCCCGTATATACCGGCGACGCAAATGACCAACTGGAACAGGCCTGCTTCCTTCTGCTCCTGGGGGTTTCGCGCATGGAGCTCCGCTTGCTCCTCCAGCTTCTGCTCGATCGCATGGACTGCGCCGTCTAATTGGTGATGCGCATTTCCATTGGCACCTCCCTTGGTCTCGTTGACCTTGCGTCGGACTGCTTCTGCCATTGCGGGTGCTCTATCACGGTGGTCCCTCGATTGACGTATTGGTGATGATTTCGTGCAAGGGGCGCGCGGGCGGGACTATAGCTTGTTCTGGCGTATATAAAGGAGCGGACAGCGCAGTGAAGAGCGCGCGAAGAGGGAAGTCAGCAAGACCGTGTCTGTAGAGCGACTGCGGGAGGAAGCGACAAAGTACACCTGTCTTTAGATTTACATTGCATTGACCAAAGATTCAACCGTGGCATCAAGGGCCCGGAGCTAAGACGGAGCTAAATGAGCGGCACGAGCCATGTTTGAGCCTCAGGGATACCCACTTCGCTAATTCAATCGATGCGGGGGCGACGCTTCACTCGGCCTGTCGGCGAGCTGGTGTGAGTAGACACAGAACACGTCTGGGAGAAGCTATGTATTTCGATTCAAATTTTGCTTGAATATACTAGTTAGTTCCTGAGTAGATATCTATCTAGGCAGTGGCTACAAGCAGCGTCAAAGCCCCGAAGCGTACCGCTCCAGCCGTCATAAAGGTCGTAAATGCTCGCTAAAGTTGATCTAGAAAAACGCGCCAAACGCCAGCAGATGCAAAACCCACTTTTCCCCAAGAGCCAGCCAGAATGCAGCTCACGCCTCACCTCTGACAATCTTCGCAACAGCGCTCTTCACTAGCACCCACATGGGCCCAGCGTTGACTTCCTTGCCGCCACCTTCCTCCATCCCGCATTTCCTCTTCCACGCGTCCCTCCATCCTCGCTCAGTATCCTTCTGCTTGAGCCTCATCAGCTGCCCCGCTCGCTTTCCTTGCCTTCTGTACCCCGCCATGAACGCGTCCCATTCTCTCCTCTCCTTGACGAAAATGACTACACCGTTTCCTGCATCGATTGGCTGGCTACCCCCAGATAGGATCCGCGCCTCCCACGCGCTACCCATGGACTGGAAGGTGAAGTTTGAGCTGTGCAGAACATAGTAGCGTTTTCGCTTGCCGAACTTGGAGGCTGCGTTGGAAGAAGGCGTAATCCAATGTGTCGCGCGAGAATAGATGCCGTCTGTCAGGGCTTCATGAAGAAGCTCAGAGGGAATGTATTGTCGGCACTGAAGGAGGAGCTTATTGCGGAGCAGACTAATGTCGATGTCTGGATGTGCGGTGGGTATTTGTGGCGAGTGAGATAGAAGTGCTTTGGTCTGTGTGCGTGTTGAGCGCGCTGGTGGTTTGGATATGCGTCCCGAGGCCCGTATGACTGTGACCGGGTTGCTGAATTGGTGGGGTGTGATTGTCTGCGTTTGAATAGGCGCCATGGCTGGAGTGGTACTCAGTTCAGAGTAGTGTTTGGTGTGCGGGTCGTAGCAAGTCTTGTATTCTTCAAACTGTGGTTCCGTACAGTGCCGGCTGGGAGTAAAGTCGTCGAGTAAGGATTTCAGTGTGGAGGAGCAGAAGCGAAGAAGAGAGGGAACATGCGGTCAAGAAATCATCTTTAACCATCATGCACCCCTTCCTAGAAGAGCATAGCTCCTGAAAAGAAACAGCTGCCATCCCAGCCTTCGGAAATCAGTCGGGTGCCAAATCTGTCTCTGCCCTTAGTGCCCTAGTCTACCAATCCCTGGGCGCGATCCTGGTCTAGGCAAGCACAGAACAGTGGAAGGATTAGCGAGCCCTGCCCGCCGAACCTCACCGTATGGGGCGTGGGGGAAGGATTGTACAGCGTGTGCAGCGACAACTTCCTCGACTTGTTGCTGTTGCTGGTATATGTGCCGTGGAATCTTTCGCCTTAACCTTCTTCAACGCTGTCTCTCTAGCTGACTTTATAAGGTGCAGGATGGCACAGACCGGACGTCTTGCGCAGGTGCTTCGTCCGAGCGTGGCACTAATGACGTACTCCGCCTGAAGGGTCCAACGGTTCGGACAGCCTCGTTTTGCACGTGTAATGCTAACCTTATTTCCCTTTGGCCGGCATCACCCTCAAGCTTTCGCAAGCACAGCATCACGCATCGAATTTAGACACTAGCATCATAGAATTCTAGATATTTGTAATAGATGTTGTTTGGTTGTATCGGAGTGTCGGTAGGGAGAGCAAGGAAGGGGGAAGGTGTTCGGGCAAGGAGTGAGGGAGTGATTAGGAAGGTACATCGGAGTGTTGTGGTAGAGACCAGGAGATGGCGAGAATCATCTCAGTTCTTCTCCGGCTCTTCTTCGCCAAGAAAACCCAAAGATGGATGTCAGAGCTGCTACCCATGAGCAGATGTACTATCCGGATATCAAAGGCCATAACGTCATGACATTCGTGAGCCGCTCAGCGTGCACTCAGATCTCTCTCGACAATAGAAAGAAAAGTAAACAATGCTCCAGACAATCCATGGTATCCATCAGTAACAGCAAGTAAGAAACTAAGCAAATCCATGCTTTTTGTTGACGGTTGTCGTGGCCTCCATGACTAGAGGCATAAATGCAGATGGCGACGAATATAAAGATTTCGCAGTTTGTAGCGAAGCCTGAGCGGCCTCGGGCTGTCTGGCGACCCCCAAGAGAGTGGGCAAGGCCCTCAAGGTGTAGCGACAACGCCGCGAAACTCCTAACGGCGCCGAGGTTGGGTAGCAGATGCATATCTACGAAGCGATCTACTCCTGGGCCTGGCTGCGACGCATCTTTTCAGCCTCAAGGTTCTCATAGAGAAGATAGAGCGCCTTCTCGTTAGCACTGGCACTACCAGTGATGGTAAACATGCGCTCGCCAGTGTCGTCATGGGGTGCCTTCGCAATGGAGATACGGGCGTTGGAGGTCTTGCGAATCTCGCTGATCTTGCTACCGCCGCGTCCAATGATACAGCCAACCATGTCAGATGGGATGCTGATGTTCTGAGTCTGCATCTCTTCGCCATCTTCGGTATGCGTTGGGGGTGGAGGCCTGCTCGCGGCATCGGAGCCAGATCGTCGGGAAAAGGCAGGAGGCGAATCACTGAAATCAGCGCCATGACCAGTGCGGTTGTACGAGCGTCCGCCCATACCACCGCTAGGTGCACCACCACCGTTGGATAGTGGGACGGGGCCAGCGCCAGGCTGAACCCTGACGGCAGGATTGTAGAGGACAGTACCGTAGCCGCGCTCGGAGTCGTCGATAAGGCACTTGCCAATCTCCCAGATAGCCTTCTCGATACCGCCAGGCGATCCTTGGACTTCGACGATGCGCTCGGTGGACTGGGGGAGCATCTCCTTCTGCGCAACCATACGAACGCCAGAGGCATCCTGAATCTGCTTGATCTTCAGGCCCTGGCGACCAATGATGGTACCCATTTGGTTGTGCGAGATGAGCAGGCGGATGGCTACAGAAGTTAGCTTGGTACCAGCTCTCATACGCAGCCATGTCGCTGGGAGAGCGCTGTGGTGTCGCAATTGTACATACGATGAGTGCCGTCCGTGCGGATAACGCCGCCCATGCCCATTGCAGGAGCGCCTTCGAGCAGACCTTTGGCGACTAGGCCATATGCCTTGGCGATGCCAGAGAGGCTGCCAGTGACGGAGAGGACACGGTCATGAACACCTTGAACGACCTTGCTGACACCGGCGCGCACGCCAGTCTCGTCGCGCAGGTCAGCAACGTTCTTGCCCGCCTTGCCAATAATGACACCGGCCTCCTTGGACGAAACAATGGCTCGCAGGGTGAGCTGCGACTCGGCGTATTCCTCTTCGGTGCGCGGGGCTACTTCGCCCTCACCGTCGATGTTGAGGCGGTCCAGTTGGTCGGCGACGCGGCTGGCATCTTGACCGGGACCGGGTTGGGGCTCTTCTGAGGACATGTTGTGGAGATGGTCCAGGGAAGCGCTGCAGCTGCGGTCAGTGACGTAGTTTTGCGACACGCGCAGTGTCGCGATACTTACAAGAGACGAAGTTGTGTTGTGGAGACGGAAACGAGACCTAGGTGCAGTGGGGTGGAGAGGGTGAGGAGGACGGGTCGAAACTCTCCAGACTATTGTGTCAAATGTCAGTGACTGTGTCGAGGTTTGTGTTTGGAGGTCGGCATGGAAGCTACTCACTGGCGATTACGGAAGTGGCGGGGGAGGTGGTCGGTGCGGGATAGCGAACAGGTAGATGAGAGGGGGGAGCAAGGGTAGGTGTGAGCGGAGAGGAGGGTTGGGGGACGGGTGGGAGAAGAGAAGAGAGGAGTGTTGTCTGAACCAGTTTGGAGCGTGCAGGTAGAGTGGAGGTAAGGTGACGGAGGGAGACGAAGCCCTGGGTCTGAGCAATATTAGGGCGGCAGATGTAGCTTCTCTTAGCGAGACGGACGAGCCTTGCCGTATTCACAAAGATTGCAGATGCTGGGAGGAAGCTACGGAGGATTCAATGCATTTCATGTCCTTGTGCAGCAGTCGACACCGTTCCTACGGGCAACCACCATGCATGGCCTGCAGGCGTGAATGCATTGAGCTGTTCGCAAGTATCGCGCGCCCCATCATCGAACACAGAACAGAATAGACCCCGCGTGCACAGGCCTTGAAAACGGCCACGTCCCCACGAAGATGCAGCTAAATCAGAGCATCCAGGGTATTGGCTAACGATGGTTGGAATGTGAATGTATCGTGCCGTCCATAATTGCGATTGGCTGAGATGTGCGGATCATCCACTATTCAATTGTTTAACTCAGCTTGAGGACACTGTGACTCTGCCAACCTGTGCACTTGCCCCTACTACCATCAACGCCTGCTACCTCAACACCGCTCAATGCTTTTGTCACGTACGAACCCTACTTCTGCGCCTCGAAAACAACTTTCTGCACCTTCATCTTATCGAACAAGTCATAACCTTCAAGGGCTTCGCTTAGTGGCATGATCTTGTCAGCCATGAATCTGTCACGGGTTAGCCATCAAATTTCCTCCATGTTCCAGCCTCAAACTTACCCAAGCTTTTCCTGATGCCGCTTTAAGCTTTCCAAAGCCTCCTCGAACACACTTCTCACCGGACACCTTCCCATCTGGATCCTAACGTTCTTGTTGTATGCTTCATTGCCGGTCCAGGGTATCTCGCCATTATGCACACCGACAGAGCTGATGACACCCCAAGGTCGGACAAGCTCATAACCCATGCGAAGGGCAGGCGAAAGTCCGACAACTTCAATGATAATGTCTGCACCGCGACCCTCTGTGAGCTCTTTGACACGTTTGTCCAGGCCCTCGCGATCAGTTTGAAAGTTCCAGGGCTCTGCACCCAGGGACTTGGCGAGTTCCAGGCGAGAGGGAACAGAGTCAACAGCGAGGATATGTTTTGGCTTATAGTCGGTGATGTTACAAAGTGCGCAGAGAGCTACAGGGCCACAGCCAATGAGCACGACGACACTGTCCTTGATCTCCTCTGGCGTGGAGTATTGGAAGCCGTTCTTAGCTGCGAACATGCCTGTTGGAAATATATCTGCCATAAGAACTAGGGCCTCGTCTTTGATGCCCGATGGTGCTTTGACGGCCGTCGAGTCGGCTAGAGGGACTCGGACATATTCCGCCTGGCCGCCATCTAGGGCAGGGCAGCCAAACAGCTGGCTCTTGACACATCGCGAAGAGAAGCCGTGGGTACAGTAGAAACATTCGCCGCAGGAGGTTGTAAATGGCGAAACAACACGATCCCCGACTTTGAGTGTCTTAATCGATGAACCTACTTCGTGAACGTGGCCAGTAAACTCATGACCCATCACAAAATCGGTAGCAGATGGTTGATGGCCGCGGAAAACGTGCAGTTCACTTGATGTGTTCAGTCAGAGACGTCGGTAGCATCGATGGTGATTCTAAGTACCTGCCGCACAATGCCGTCTGCGAAGGATTAGTAGGAAGTGATGATGCTGAACTGCTAGCGTACCTTTTCAACTTTGACGATGATATCTCCGGCATCTTGAATCTTTGGAATTGGCCTATCTTCAATCACCACCTTCCCCGGTCCCTTGAATACCACTGCTTTCATGTCGTGTTTGATTACTGCAACTGATTATCGATGGTAAGATACTGAGATGAGCGTGACAAGATTGAAATAAAGACACACGTTTGAGTTGAGAAACTAGGAGCGATCAAGTGGAGCTGGTGGACTACCTATAAGGCGCGATGTAGGGCGCGCGCTCTGACGACATCGGACGCGCGAAATGGTCCTCGGTGATGATGTGGTATGGTAGCTTCTGCCCCGCCGAGGTTCGACTGCGGGGTACACACCACGGGCAGCGGAAGTATATTGGCTGCACGGATGTTTCACAGCTTAAATAACATTGCTGAGGTAGTCAGCCACGCCTGGAGACACATGGGAAATGTTGAGACTGGTGTCATGAGTTGATGAGTTGCGCGATTCGGTTCTACGGACTTGGACAGCTCATAGCTCTAAGAAGCTCGAAGCTCGAAGCTCACCGCAGCCCTCCGCCGCTTCCGCATCAACATGCCAGCTCGTGGATAAAAAAAAAATAGCAACAGCACTGTAGGGTCTAGCGTACCATGTAAACCCACCTGAACGCCTTGTCTGAAGTTCAGTCAAACCCAAACGCGTAAACACCTTTCGCAAAATCCAAGCCGTATCGCCATATCCAATCCAAGAATCGCAACAAATACCCATGCAAATATGACGTCGACGGTATCTAGTAAAATGCTCTCCCTCTAAGTGACGGTGCAAAGTAGCTCCTCCTCCAGGATGAACTTGCCCTCCTTGTACTTCTCGCTGGCCTCGTATGCCTTGTCGTATTTCCAACCGACAGTCTCCTTGCACTGGCGACAGTGGATGTCTCGTACTATGTGACGTCCTGTGGTCATGTTGCGTTCGTTGGGGTCGGATTCGGTAATGTTTACGACGCTGTCAAAGAGATAGGCCTTGCCGTGCTGGCCACGGAAGTTCTTCGTAATGTTAGCATTCTATTGATGCGTGGAGTTCAAGGCGCGCTGACCCTGCTGAGTATGTCATCGTGGTTGGAGAGATGGGTCTTGCAGTTCTTGCAGCCGTAGATGCGCGATGAGGTGGAGTTGAGGTAGATGTTGTAGGTGAGTCCCATGGTGATGGACAGGCGATCCGACTCGCTGATCGAGGGCTGCTGGGGTGTGGAAGATGCGTCGAGACCGTGGCGGTAATCAGAGCGGTAGTCAGAAGTGGCCACTCGTTGTTGGTCGCCGCCTGTCATACGTGCTGTTGGCGCGGGTGTGAAGGGGACAAAGGTGGCGGGGAGCTAGCGGTTAAGCGTTTGAAGGGCCCGAAATTTGTGGCTCCCGCTGTTGCGCCCAAGCGCGATTACTATCTTAGGATGTGGAATGAAGCCTTGGATCTGGCCTGGAGGTGACGCCGCTATGCCGGTAACTGGTGGCACGTGCGTATCGGAGCGGGATGACGGAGGCGAGGGGCACTGGCGGGGAGACAGAGAGCGGCGGTAGTGTGACTGGGACGTCAAGTTGGGTTGAATACTCTACACAAATATCTACGTGGCATGGGCTGAGGCTTTGTGGAACCAGACGATGAGGAGTGCAGTGAGAGAGCTCCAGGATCGCCAGGCTAGTGCATGTGGTGAGATGGAGCGGGGCCGTCTTGGAGGAGTAAGGTGGTCAGCTGGCGACGCACGCGGACGGTATTCTGTCCAAACTCGAAGAATTCTAGGGATGTGTTTACATTAGCATGGATGACATGGAGTCGATTGAAGAATCAACGTTTCGACAATCGTTGGCCACAGTCTCCTCTGATTGGTCACGACCATGTCGAGTTACCTGTTTGGGAACATCCAGCCGATCGCGCAGTCCCCAAATGTTTCTCTCCGCAATGACGAGTCATAGGATAAGCGCTTGCCTGGTAGGAGTTATCCTCGGTGTTGTTGCTTGTCGTCTTCGGACATGTAAACATGGACCCGCAGAACAAGAGAGCGTTTTACATTGGCACACAAAGAAGCAGGCTGGCCGTCGATAAACCAACGCATCGACCGACATGTGACGGCGAGCGTTGGGAGTGGGCAGAGTTTCGCGCATCCTCCATGCAAGGTGTTGTTGTTCTCTATTGACGCTGCGGCTCCCAACCTCTCTTCGCGAACTGGGCGAGTCAGACGCCACGCAAGGTATAGCTGTAGAGTGAGGGTGAAACGACATAGGCAATTGCAGAGCGTCTGCAGCACGAGCGAAGTGACAGCGGCCAGTAAATGCACGCCTACGCTCATGCAGGTGATTGGCGTCGCGGCGTGTAGGCGATTATCAGCCCCAGCCTTCCGATGCACGTCCGCTGCGGCTTGCCCTTGTGGCAGACGTGCTAGCGGGCTTAACCTCGCTGATATGGAACATTCTAGCATCGTTTTTAGGACCAAAATCCCAGCTTAATTTTTATCCGCCCTGGATCTCAACCAACAGTCGCTGCAGCCAGACTAAATTTCTAGTGACACCATCCAGGCCGCTATCCTTCCGCAGCTCGCCCCCATGGTTCTTCCCTCCTTCTTCGCATCCTCAAAGAAGTCGTCCAAGACCAGAGATATCCCCAACCTTGCCCCCCGACCTTCACCCCAGGCTACCGCGGGCACCCCTCCTGCCTCGCCTGACAAGCACACCCACTCCAAGGTGAAAGACCGGGAACGCTCCTCCAGCCGCCGTTCGAGCTCATACTCGTCCAAGCGTTCCTCCAAGTACGACCGCGACTCACACCCGCTAAATCTGCCGCCTGAGGAACGCCAACGCCTGTCCTCGCAAATGTCCGCCATGGACCAGCCCACACCCCAGCCAATGGACGTCGACCGGGAACACTCGTCCTCGCCCGCACCTTCGAGCCCGGTAGCAGACGCCCCAAAGACGAATGGCGCCAACGGCGCCCCAGACGGGCCCGCTCCTCCTCCCCACAGATACACAAAGAGCCCGCCGCCGCCCACAGCAAACTACGCTGCCACTCCCGAGGCTGCCACCCCGCCTGCTGAGCCCCCGACCATAGACGCCGAGGAGTACAAGGCTGCTGGCAACAAATTCTTCAAGATCAAGGATTACCCACGCGCCATCGAGGAATACTCCAAAGGTGCGTAGTCATACTTGCCATGCACTAGCTGCAGCTTTGCACTACACAACACACCAAGGAGAGCTTCGGGCTAACCAATCCGCAGCTATCGAGGCCGACCCCAAGAATGCCACCTACTACTCGAACCGGGCCGCCGCCTACATTTCCGCCAACAAGTTCTACGAGGCCATGGAGGACTGCAAGATGGCCGACGAGCTGGACCCCAACAACATGAAGATCCTGCTGCGGTTAGGCAGAGTATATACCAGTCTGGGACGGCCAGACGAGGCTGTGCAAGTATACGACTCCATCAATGCCACGGCCAAAGACAAGCAGCCTGCCTTGACAATGCAAAAGCACCTCCGCATGGCCGAGGACACTGCACGGAACGAGGGCTCGGGCTCCATGGTCATCTACGCTCTCAACGAGGCTGAGAAGGGCCTCGGTGCTGGTGTAGACAAGCCCCGAAAGTGGCAGCTTATGCGGGGAGAGGCACACCTGCGCATGGGCAATGCCAATGCGCTTGGGGAGGCACAGAACGTTGCCATGTCGCTGCTACGGTATAACAACCAGGACCCGGATGCTCTCGTGCTTCGCGGTCGCATCCTATACGCCCAGGGCGAGAACGACAAGGCTGTCCAACATTTCAGACAAGCGCTTGCCTGCGACCCTGACTTCAAGGCTGCTGTGAAGTACCTTCGCATGGTTCAAAAACTGGACCGCATGAAGTCGGAAGGTAACGCTGCCTTTAAGTCTGGCAGGTTCCAAGAAGCCATCGACACCTACACCCAGGCGCTAGAAGTCGATCCCTCGAACAAGGGCACAAACTCCAAGATCCTTCAGAACCGAGCCCTCTGCCACAGCCGGCAAAAGAGCTGGAAGCAAGCCATTGCCGACTGCGAGAAGGCGCTGGAACTCGACCCAAGCTACACAAAGGCACGGAAGACCCGGGCAAAAGCCTTGGGCGAGAACGGCAACTGGGAGGAGGCTGTGCGTGATCTCAAGGCCATCCAGGAAGAGAACCCGTCGGAACCTGGAATCGCCAAGGAAATCCGTGATGCCGAGATGGAGCTCAAGAAGAGCAAGAGGAAAGACTACTACAAGATTCTCGGTATCGAGAAGGATGCCACAGAGCAACAAATCAAGAAAGCATACCGAAAGCTGGCCATCGTACATCACCCAGACAAGAACCCTGACGACGCGGATGCTGCAGACAGGTTCAAGGAGATCCAAGAAGCACACGAGACTCTGAGCGACGCACAGAAACGTGAACGGTACGACTCCGGCGCTGATCTTGTAGACCCCAACGACATGTTCGGTGGGGGCGGCATGGGTGGAGGCATGGGTGGCATGGGTGGTGGCATTGACCCAGAGATCCGTAAGTACAATAACCACTGTGAGAAAACATCCACAGCTAACAAAAGGCACAGTCATGCAAATGTTCGGTGGCATGGGTGGAGGCATGGGAGGCGGCCGTGGCGGAGGAGGTGGTTTCCACTTCAGCAGCGGCGGTGGCGGCAGTCCATTCGGTGGTATGGGTGGTATGCCCAGCGGTGGTCGAAGAGGAGGACCTCCCGGTGGCTTCCCCTTCTAAGCGCCTCATTTATACCCACACAACCCCCACGACGACGCTCCGTTTCAAAAACAGCATCCTCTCTTTGATTCGTGTGTATACCCTTGGCAGAACACTTCCGACAGATTTCATTTACTGGCGTTGGATACAGGAGACGCGCGAGCAGTAGATGCATAGACGGTCGTTCGGATCGCTCTCCTGTATTTGGGTGGGATGCGAAGCATTGATTTTCACGTTGGCTCCCGAGGGATTTAGCATTGCCTGGCGTCTCTCATTACTATTTTGTGCATGAAACCCACTTCTAAGAAATGTCTGCCGTATGTGACGTGTTGGAATTAGTAGTGTAATGCGATTTTTTTTTTTTGAAAAAAAAGTTAACGACCAAGGGATTGTCTTCGTGCTCGTGACGTACAGACAGAGATGGCCTCCCGACACAAGGACGAGTCGCAATGGTGTTCGTGTACAATAGTCGTTGTGGTGGATCGTTCATGTCGTGACATTTGCAGCGGAAATCGTACCAAATCGTGTGCAAAATGAGCCAATGACGTCATACACACTAAGGTCTTGTGAAAACCGTCCAGTAGCATTTCGCATGACCTTGATTTCCATAGTGCCCGAGACCTTAATTTTTACTCTTTCTACCTCAATTAGTAGTAACCCTATCGAAGGTTTTTCTCACGAGTATCATTCCAACAAAAGCACCACTTCGTATAAACCCTGAGCTGGGAAAACTTACTCCTTATTTGATACGTTAGGTTTTCGCAAGTGGTTTTGACAACGTTCAAAGGGAGCATAAAGTCTATTCAGACTGCACCACCAGTAATAGCTACTCGAGCATTCTTTAGAAGACAAGGACCTTCTGAGAGGCGCCTCTACACCCTCTCTACCCTCTACAGATCGTGCCACGTGACCGCACGATTGAATGTCTACAATGCAACCTTCCAGACGCGGCCGTCCAAACCGCCAAACGCCCACGTCAGGACCATCACGAGGCGCCCACACACCGCGGGACCGCGGTGACTCTACGCCATCCTTCATCTACAATTCCGAGGCCAACTTCCATGTCTCAGATTACCGGGGACGAGGACGAGGTCGAGGTCGAGGTAGAGGCAGGGGCCGTGGTGGACCGAACTTCAGATCGGACCCAGACTATCCTCCCGTCCCATCCTTCGCTTTTCTCAACCCCGGTACAGCTGTCTCCATCATCCTCAAACAAGACCAGCCCACCGGACATCAAGTCCGCGGTATTGTAGCAGACTTGCTAACGCGTGGCGATCATCCCCGGGGTGTGAAAGTAAGGTTAAGGGATGGAAGGGTTGGTAGGGTACAGAAACTTGTCTCCGAGAGCGAAGGAACGCAGGGTGAGGCTGTTGTTGGTGGCGCTGGTGCGGGGCTGGGTAGGGATGGTGAAGGTGGGGGAAATGGTGTAGAGAGGAGACCGGGGAGGATGGTTGGTGGGAGAATAGAGAGGGATATTAGGGATGAGGATGAGTATCTTTATGATGAGAGGAGGAGGAGACAGCCTGCGGATGTGGGAATATTTGCTGCGCTGGAAGAGGCGGATCGGAGATATCAGGGAACTGGGAGTGGAGAGTTGAGGAAACCTCAGGTTGCGATATGTCCGGTGTGTGAAGATTTTGAGGGGGATGAGGCAGCTGTTGCACATCATGTTGAGGAGCATTTTGGGGGATGATGGAATTGGAAATGGCGGGTTGATTTGCCATCTTGCTCTGCTTGAAAGGGTCTTTCATGTACACGACGTCGAGCAGTGGTTAACTATCTCCGTCGTGTCAAGATCTCTAACATGCCTTGCGTAAGGGACCATGTATATCTCTGAGCCCTAACAACATCTTTGCCGTCGCGACTGCACCACAGTATGATATCGGCAGTAGCACATTCCCCTTTCCCCGTTTTCATCGCTATCTTACTTGTAGACTATATCTAGACTACGCTTCTCGTCTACATAGTTAAACTCATCCCTAAGAAGCCAGAACTTCGCACCCTTTCCTTCCTGGATGCGCCCATGAGCCTTGTGGTGGTTGATCACATTCTGTCGGCGTTTACTATAGACCTTGACAAACTGCTCGTCTTCCTTCCAATCCTTGAAGATGCTCGACGCAACCCATCCTGCGTTAGGTAGACGCGAAGAGTTTCTTCCGTCGGGAAGATTCCTAGTATTGATGTGGTCGCAATCGAAGGCACGAAATGCTCTGTTGGCCATATCGAGGTCGATGACATTGTCGAGAGCGTTCCACCTGAGCTCGTTGAGTTTGTCTTTCAAGGTTTCAATCTCATTCTCCGGCACCTCAATCTCAATCTCAGGGCGGTCTTGGGATGTCGCATGTCTGGGAGTCTGGATGTTCACACCCACCTGGGCCTGCGAACAGCCCGAAAGAAGTCTACAACGGTGTGAGTGAGATGCTCAATGGAGAGGAGCAAGGTGGATGGGTAAAGGAGGTGCTGGGAGTAACCTGCTGCATTCTCAGAACATAAGATGATGATGTCACACTAAAGAAATCAAGCGTGGTTGGTCTGTCGCGAAACCTAAGATCACCGATCGTTACGTACCTTTCCGGATCCGTTTGAGTCCTTGATTTGCTCACGCGAGACTCCTGCACCTCAGCTTCGAGGTTGGAGAGCCGTGCCCTAAAAGACTCTGCATCTGCTTCGCTCGCTGAGCGCTGTTCGGTAAGCAGTTTGTTTGCTTTGGTGAGCCTAGCGACCTTATCTTCCTCGACCGCCAGCTTTCGCTGCAGATCAGCGATCCGTCCTTGGCTTGCAGTGTTATCGCTCGAGTGAGATGTTGCTTCATCCAATTCTTGTTCTACAACATGAACATCCCCGCGAACCGCGGCAAGCTTCACAATGAGGCGATTATAGGAGTTCTGTGGTCGAGCGCACGAGTGCGATATTCCTTGCGCCGCACCAGCAATATTAGCCAGTTCGACATCCTTGTGTTCCAGAGCGGCTTCGAGCACTTCCATCTGTGCCCGCAGCGCCTCAGCTTCCGACGTCGTGGTGGTGTGGTTAGCCTTTTCCTGCTCGAGATTCTGGTTCAGAGCCTTGACCGTATCCATTTCACTCTGCAGGCGCTGGACTTCGACTTCTAGATCGCTGTTCTTGCGGTCTGCAACACTCAGTTTAAATCTCAATCTAAACAGGTCCCTCTCTTCATCGCTGTCGGAGGCGTTGTCCTCTGATGCGACCGTGCTGCTAGATAGCATCTGATATCGCTGCTGTCGACTCGGATGCATCCCGGCGTAGGTATCATCGTCATCAGAGTGCGCGTATGTCATTTTTCCCCGAGTAACTGATGAATTTGACGCGATTGTGGGTGGTGTGTGCTGGCTAGCTGGGAGTCGCTCCTACTTGATCTGTGTAGCAGAGTCTATGGTTCTTGGCAGAACGCTTCCGCCGAGAAGGAAGGCGTGCAAGAGCCTGGGGCAGGCATAATATTTGCAGGACTAGAAAATGGTGAACGAGGAAAGTGAGGGTTGCGAGGCCACCTGAGCGTTGCTGGTAGCTCTGTTATGGGCCACATGCTGTGAGACAGTACCTAGGTATGGGAAAGCTGTCAGCAGAGATGTCGAAATTGAGGAGGTATTTGGAAGATTGCTTACCTGGGAAACAAGATATAGGATGAAGAAAAGAACAATGCTATCTGCTGTATTTGGAGTACAAGAAGTAGATCCATGAGAGTTGGCAAAGAGCTTTGATACATTCTATAACACGCGATCCGATGACAGCTGATGCACACAACATCATCTTTTGGCGATGAGAAGCCGACAGTAATAGAATAGGTAATACAGATTATGGGGGACTCTAGCGATGTGTTCGTTGTGTATACGGCCAGGAGAAATACAAGTAGAACGATGGCGACAGCAACGGCTGGCATCAGGTCGTACACCTGTGGTGGCTCATACTTACTCATTACCTGCCAGGGTCGCTTCTCCGTTGGCGGCAATATTGATACCATTAGATCCACCAATAGACTTACTGCCATCCGAACCTTCTGTAATGCCTAGGTTTCCGCCTAGATTGTCTGCGTTGCCATCCTGGCCGAGAGTGATACCAGACTCTTCAGAGAACCTTTCAGATTCTTCAGTAGCCTTGACACCATTTGACTTTTCTCCCGTTGCCTTTTGAGCTTCCTTCTCGGCTTCCTTCTTCGCTGCCTCTCCTTCGGCGCGGCCAGGCTGGTTTTCTGTACCAGCGCCAGCGCCGGCCTCAGATTTTGCTGGCTTTTGCTCTTCCGTGGCAGCAGGCTTCTGCGCTTCAGCAGCGGAGTTTCCCTCCTCGGCAGTAGCGGGCTTTTCGCCTTTTGTTGCTGAAGACTTGGGTGCCTCTTCAGTCGTCGCTGTACTGTTTCCCTTCTGGTTTCCGCCGAGCTTAAGACCGTTGCCAGTAATTCCGCCACCTGGGCCACCCAGAGTGAGTCCTCCAATCGTGAGACCACCTCCTCCACCTCCTTGTTTTTGAGCTTCGCGACGGCGGCTTCCCCCGTTGGTCAACGAGTCTAGACTCTGAAAGTCTGCGTCGCGTCTAATGGGGTGCGCTCGGTACGAGCGGGAAACAAGAGCTGATTTCGTCTATCACACGGATAAGCATATGCTACAGACCAAATATCGAACGATGCCAAGGTAGTGTCGAATTTGGATATACTTACTGCCCATAGTGTGCGGGGAGGAACGACGAAAGCATCTACGCACGATATGACCAGAAGACCGAGAGTTAGTTCGAGAGAGAGCTTCATGTTGGCTGATTAGATACTCTGGAAAAAGGGTGTGTAAAGAGAATAGCTGTCCGGCAGCAAAGTTAACAGAAAACCAAAACGAATTGAGGATGTTACCAGAAAGCTTATCAAAGGTCAGTTGGAGATCTGTACTGTAGATAAGTCTTTTCCAGGCCCATGAGTCTCAGCAACATATGCTTACCCGAGCCACCGTCTAGTGCGTACATTGGCATTGCCGGAACCTGCATAATGGAACGCATCCACAACGTTTGCAGGTCAGCTTGGCAATCGTAAGTGGTCGGAGCACTGTGTCAAACGCCAATGCGCGGCATGGTCGACCACTCGCTAGGATGTTGGGGTCGCTCATGTCGCAAAAGCGTCGCAGCTCCCGTCTGGGCCCTGATGGTCGTGTTCTAACCATTCGGCCCTCGTAAAGCCGTCTTGGAAGAATCAAGTAAGAAAGACAAGTCATGGCTAAGCTTCTGGATGGTAATTTTGTGATGCTAGGAAAGCCAAGAACGAATTTGAATCGAGACACGAATTGCGGTTTGAGTATACCGGTTCTGTGTTGAAACAGAGTCTACAGGTCGTACGATTCTTCTGTTAAAGAAAACTTAAGGTGTTGCTGAGCGCATTGAAAGACCTGTTTGGTGACAGTAGGTTTGCTCTTGTCAGGACATGATCGGAAGCACATATTCCAAGGTCACGACGACCTTTAAGTGGCGACAAATGTACGCGAGTGGAGAGGGAACACGAACAACAATACACAATATCGATCTGAAATGGAACAAATTGGCGATGAAATTGATGAGCGGGACGTGGCTATCCCGTCGAGTGCGGGCTGGGAAACCACGCGAAATTGACACGCTAGCGAAGATGACTAAGCCTATGCGACGAGATTCTCGGGGTCGACTGTTCTTGCGGAAGTTCTTAGGCTCACAATTCATGTCAGCATGTCACATCATGACGTTCCGTTGTTGTCTGCACCGAACAACCATGACGCTCTCACGGATCGAAGTGATGCTGTATTGGTCGGGGCCGTGCCACATTTTATGTGAGTATGAGGTTACATGATACGTTATCATTTTTTGGACTGGCCTCTCATGCTACGGCTTAATCAGCTTCAACATGTGTTCCTTATCCAATATGTGCGGCAAGCTAACATGACCTCGGGAAGGTAGATGGCTACAACCTTTCCACTGCGCTTTCTCCGCCTAGATAGATTCGCATACTTCAATACCACCCCAACCAAGCCTACTCGTGCCGGCACGTCTTAGCCGTTATAGAGACGCTCTCCATCGTCTCTGTATTGCTGGAAAGCCTCGTGTAGTGACTCCACGGTCTCACCAGGGAAAAGATGCAGGAAGAATGCGCACCCTTTTTTGCGCTTCACCTTCCACATGAACAACTGCCGCTTTGCGTCGTCATTCCAACCGGTGAAAATGAATTGACTTTTGTTAGTAGATGGGGTGTCTTTCACCATGTCGCGGAGATGTGCAGTAGAGGCTTGTGAAGCGCGACTGGATAGGCTAACAAGATTCTGAGAGGAAGAGTCTGTGAGATGGTGGGTTAGCGGGAAGACTAACAACAGGTTTCAGATCATCGTTTACCTGCGCCACGATCTGAATAGACTCCTAGATCTTGTGCTGGTCCACTAAAGCCAAGGCCGCCCAAGTCAAGTGATCCTCCTAGTGCCTGGGTCTGCCTGTGGTCTCGTGAGAATGCCGCGGTTAGGAAGCCTCGCAAAGTCCGAGTATCGTTCCTGTCTGTCCTGGTATCTGGCTGAGCACGACGAGGAACCACGAAAGCCTCGCCAGTCCAGACCCTACCGTCTGCATAACGCCAAGCCTGATCCGGGTCTTCCCACGAGGGTGGGTCCGCCGCTGGAGCTATCCGCTAAAGTCAGTTCGGAGTCTACAGATGGAGATATTCTTAGTTACGTAGATTGTGTAGTCGGTTGACTGATCCACGTGGCTGCATAAATGAAGAGGCGAAATCTCCGTTATTGTTTGGAAAGAGCGATTCGTCTAGATGTCTCAGGGGACAGTATCCACGATTAGAAGGCTCTGCTGGCGGATGGTCGTTTTTCTTATCAGGTGAACCAGCCATTTGTAGTATACGGAAGGTATCTATTAGGGTTTCTGTTGGAGAGAAAATGACACTTCGGGAAAGAAACGTATGAGCCCTCGAAAACGGATAAACCAAAACAATATTGATAATGATCGCGAATTTTGATCTTTGTACATGTTAAGTGAAGGCAAGAGTAATTGAGTCAAACAATACTTTGCCCCTCAAAGACGACTTCACCTTGTTGTTTCTTGACTCACCAACAATCTACCTGCCCTTTTTTCAATAACATTCGAAGGTCTGCTCGTATCATCGTGTGAGAGCGGTGGTCATCTGGGACGCAAGAGTGCTGACTACTTCCAGGCTACAGTGAATCGTGGTGCTGGACTTGATATCGTCATTGGTATCATATGAAGGAAGAATGAAAAGTGAGTGACCATACAGATCAGAAGCAACGAGTGAATTTAATGGTCCGACTATTGCAATTCGCTCACACTAAAACCCAGAAGCTTGCCATCGGTATTGTCTTTCTGTGCCCTTGTCAATAGTGGGCTGAGCTCTTCTCCGACTCGCTCGTACTTTCTTGCATACAAATCCCTTGATATAAATGGGAATACATGATTCCTTGAACCATAGTTTCTCTGGTACTGGTAGTTTTGCAAGGCAGAACTTCCATGACCCATTAGGGTGACAACTGGCTACGGTCCCTTGTCTGAAACGTTGCCAGTGTATCCCGCGTATCACGAGGGTGGATAGGCTTGAGCTCGCTGACAAGGTCTTGAATTAAGAAGTCAGGTCTCAAGCCAGAGGTCTACAGCAATCCCATTTACCTATTGCGCAGATGTGTGAGGTGCTCGCTAGGCGCCGCGATATTGACTAGGAATTGCCGGGACTGTCAAGAAGTTGTCGGAAAGCCTTGTCAGTCATGAGGTATACAAAAAGTACTACAAGACACCTCTTGCCATACTTAAAGCGGTGCCGAAGGTTTGTCGGCATGCGCCAACAATCTCGTACAAAACCTTATTGTCGATATGGTATGATAATTTTATGAAGCTTGAATAAAGCGCAAGCACCCGACTTCTAGAAAAATTGGGCAGTAGTTTGGATACGCGATCGAGAGCTATCTTCACTTGAGCGGCCAATGTGTTGTTGACAGCTGGCAATATCATTTCAAAGAGGTTATGTGGCAGGCCAGATACAGTTAGCGTTCTGCGCCACAGCTGTGGCCGAACATAACGTCATTGTTCTCCATCTCGCTTCACAGCAGCTGCCCACTTCCTACAATCTCTACAGTCCGGACGGCAGACATCCTTCTTTCTCACACAATCGAATTTGATAGCTCGTATTTTTGCGCTGTGGTTGAAAGCCACTTTGTCCATTGGACTGCAGTTTCCTTAGCTACAGGAGTTAAAACAGCAACCTCCAGCTCAACCGAGCACATCACTCATCTCCCCCACAACCATGGCAACGCGGCGTAAACCAAACAGCGACACAGACAACGGTGTACCTCTCACAGCGGGCATGCCCGGCGGTACCATCCGCCCACCGACCTCATCGGCGCGTCGCTCCCCCTTCCTCCCTACGCGCCTCGAAGCACAACTCATCGCCATCTACCCATTGACACTCCTCCTCGGTAGCGTCTTTAGCATAATTTCGCCTTCCAATCGAGCCGCGCCCTATTCCGCAACCCTACAGTCTCACCCTACCGAATTTGCGCCCTCATACTTTGCGCAGAAAAAGAACATCTTCAATGTATACTTTGTCAAACAAGGATGGTTCTGGACTACACTAGCATTTGCTGTCTTTGTTACCTTCCATCCTGGTTTCGGTCAGGGTGCGAGTGCGAGGCGCATCCGAGCGGTCATGCGATATGGTGTTGTGACGACTTGGTGGTGCTTCATGACACAGTGGTTCTTTGGACCGCCGTTGATCGATCGCGGCTTCAGGTTCACTGGAGGTCAATGCGAAATAATAAGAGATCCCGAGGCGAGGGAAGAAATGAGCAACACAAGAGAGTATATCACGGCTGCGACGTGTAAGGCAGTTGGTGGAACTTGGAAGGGTGGTCATGACATCTCTGGACATGTCTTCTTGCTTATTCTTGGCTCATCGCTTCTGTGGTTGGAATTCCTGCCTGCGTTGACGCGTGTAGAAGGGCTGAGAGACGGAAGGTTGATCACTTTGCCAGATGGCAAGGTTGCAAGTGTTGCAGTGGAGAAAGAGCTGGTGAAGTCTGAGGGTGAAGCTACCGCGCGTGGCGTCAAGTTCGCGCTCAGTGTCGCGGCGCTGATGTGGTGGATGCTTCTCATGACAGCTGCCTACTTTCATACTTGGTTTGAGAAGTTCACGGGCCTGCTAGTCGCATTCGCAGCGCTGTGGACTGTCTACTTCCTCCCAAGAGGCGTTTTCCAGGTTAGAGCGTGGTTGGGTATGCCTGGTGTATGAAAGATTTACTGTGTAGTAGCGAACTGCAGGAGTGGCGGTGGGCAGTCATCTTGCAGATCGCATGGCGGCGATCGCAAAACAAGCCGAGAGCGGCGACGACATAGACTGCATGGCGAGTTGGTGAGTTGACGAGTCAAGCGCTTGAGCAAAAACATAATGAGTATAGTATTGTTTAATGGCATATATTACCACTTCATCCTGTGTTCGACAACAGGCTCATTAGGTCATAGACGTCATTTTCGAGCAAAAGATGGTATGACTTCAGAATGATACCAAAAACAAATCCCTTGCCGTTGTCGCTAACACTAGGTATTCCGGGAATCCCTCCGTGCCGCTCCCTCTACAATGTCGGAGCTACACCAACGGTTTTCTAGTGACAGGCATGTTGTGTTCCGGGCAACACAGGGCTAGTGTACCAGATGTGAGATGGCAGCTGCAGCCTTTGACAGGACCGTTGACCACATCTACCGCGGCTAAACCTCGCATCGACCCAGAGTTACACCGCGCCCATCTCTAAACGGTATCCTATCCGCCCAGTTCCGCCCGCTTCACCCAATCACTTGATTCTCCGTAGAGTCGCATTGTGAAAGAGTTTGTCTGTGACCCCAGACTTTCCCCACTTCCCCTCACGATGATCAAGCCATTGCATCCCGATGTTAAGCTAACCATGCGGCATTGGTTGTTGAGACAAGTACTTAATGGAGGTACCTTAGCGGATTTCCGCGACGTATTGCTCAACTGCAAAATCTCGCAATGTTTGGCATGAAGGGTGTTTGCGCGTTGAGCCTTTTGGCCAGCGCCGTGGTTGGTCAAAATGGTATGGAATGGGTTTCGGATCCGATAGAGGCGGCTGCTGACGTGAGGCAGCTATTTCAGCGACTGGGACAAACTTCACCTTGACCGCTGATGGCATGTCATACCTCTTCCATGTAGATACCGAGTCGGGAGACCTCATCTCGGATCATTTTGGAGGACCGACCGACGACTTTACACCACCTGCCTTTATCCTCCCCTACGGATGGCATGCTGGGATATCCAACGATCGTCGCGAGTTTCCTGACAGTGGTCGTGGCGACTTCCAACTACCAGCGATTCACATCGAACATGCTGATGGGGACACCGTATCCGCGTTCCGTTACCAATCTCACGAGATCACCCAGGGAAAGCCTTCGCTACCAGGACTACCCGCCACCTACGGTGAAGCTGGCGATGTAACGACGATCACCGTACATATGTACGACAACGTTTCTGATGTTTCGGCGGCTTTGTCGTACTCGATCTTCCCCAAGTACAATGCTATTGCGAGAAGTTTTAGCATTGCAAACAACGGTACTGCCGATATCGTCATCGAGAGAGCCTCGAGCTTCAGCACCGACTTTCCTAATCTGGATCTGGAGATGATTGAGCCGCATGGTGATTGGTCACATGAATTCCAGACTGTGAAGAGAAAGATTGACTATGGCGAGACTTCGTAAGTCGATGTCCTCAAGTATTGCTACAGTGTGGTTAATAAAGGGCAGATTCCGAAGCACGGCAGGGTATGCGTCGCATCTTCACAACCCCTTCTTCGCCTTGGTCTCGCCAACTACCACTGAATCTACCGGAGAGGCGTGGGGATTCAGTTTGGTTTGGAGCGGCAGCTTCGAGGCTACAGCCCAGCGTTTCTCTAATGGCTACGTACGTGTGCTTATGGGCCTTAACCCGCTTCACGCCAGCATTCGTGTGGCTCCAGGGGAGATGTTCCAGTCTCCTGAAGCTGTTGGTGTATACTCTTCTCAAGGTGTTGGTGGCGTATCGCACTCGTTTCACGACCTATATCGCAACCATCTCTCCCGTTCCAAGTTCACGGATCAAACCAGGCCAATTCTACTCAACTCTTGGGAAGGATTGAGCTTTGATATCAACGAGACTTCTCTGGTCAACCTGGCCGGCGAAGCTGAAGAGCTAGGAATTGAGCTCTTCGTGATGGACGATGGGTGGTTCGGCGTAGAGTATCCACGCAACAACGACTCTCTCGGTCTGGGCGACTGGACGCCAAATCCGGCTAAATTCCCTGATGGTCTTGGCCCATATGTGGAGCAGGTCAACAACTTTACAGTGTTGAACGCATCATCAACACCTTTACAGTTCGGTATTGTGAGTGTCTCTGTGCTATGCGAACTAAATTTGAGACATACACTGACATTATACCTCTATATTTAGTGGGTAGAACCAGAAATGGTCAATCCCAACTCGACACTTTACCATGAGCATCCCGATTGGGTCTTGCACGCGGGAAAGCACCAGAGATCGCTGACTCGAAACCAACTAGTACTGAACGTGGGATTGCCCGAAGTACAAGAGTTCATCATCAGCTCCGTCTCTCGAATTCTCGATTCTGCGAACATCCAATACGTGAAATGGGACAACAACCGCGGCATGCATGAGCTTGCCCGTCCATCTGACGACTACACTTATATCCTCGGTTTATACCGCGTGATTGACAACCTCACAACAAGCTACCCCAACGTACTTTGGGAAGGCTGCGCATCCGGTGGAGGCCGCTTCGACCCAGGTCTGCTCCACTACTGGCCTCAGCACTGGACTTCCGATAACACGGATGCATCGAACCGTCTCACCATTCAAATGGGTACATCACTTGTCTACCCACCTTCGGCGATGGGGTGCCACGTCTCCGCTATTCCGAACGGTCTCACCCACCGCAACATCAGCATCGAGTACCGCGGCCATGTAGCGATGATGTGCGGCTCCTTCGGTCTCGAACTAAACCCCGGGGAGCTCTCACCCGAGGAAGCTTCCGCCGTACCGTCCATCATGGCGCAAGCTAAAGCCGTAAATCCGGTAGTTATTTCTGGTGACTTTTATCGCCTCGCCCACCCGGATGTCAGTAATTGGCCAGGTGTGCAATTCGTCAGTGCAGACGCAAGCCAGAGTGTAGTGTTTGCGTTCCAGCAACTATATATGATAAAACCGGCTGCGCCTCCACTGAGACTGCAAGGCTTGGATCCTAAGGCGAGATACTACAACGACTTGGACAATGCTACATACAGTGGGGCTACATACATGAATGGTGGACTCAATATTCAGTGGCCCATGGGGGATTATCAAAGTAAGCTGATTTGGTTGAACAAGGTCTGAATAGCTTAATGTGTACATGCATTTACCATAATCGAATCAACTTCGTCAGTGACGCACTTGTCTGGAAGCATCTGATCTCGTTCAGGAGCGCCAATAGCGAGGGCCGTTCCTAAATCTCAGCCAATGGACGACGGTAAACCGCTTCCCACCCATTCTCTGCAACAGCCCGAATTTTCTTGTCATCCATGACCTTGACCAGCTTTCCACACTTCTCTCCGGTAAGCATAGCGACGTACTGGTCTTCCTGCTCCTTACTAATCAGATAGTACCGACAAAGGTACGCCACGTGGTTGGCCAATGCCTCCAGAATGGGATCTACGACCGCGTCCTTGCATGTCAGCTCAGCAATGGTGACTAATTCGTTGACTTCCACAGGACGACAAACAAGACCACCAATGTAACGTTCGATGACCTGCTGAGTATATTGAGCCATACCTAAGGTACGCGCTGTAAGGTGAAGCTCTAGACCCTTCTGGAGGTTGTTGGGTATGGGAAGGTCAGTGTATTCCTTATCAGTGCAGATCTTCCGCAGCCACTTCGAGATGACACGCATCGACTCCAATGTGACGTCTTTGTGATTGCATCTAATCAATCTGGCTTCTGCATGATCGCTTATTTGCCGACGGAACGCTGGTGAAGCAGCAAAGAAAGCTAGCTTGGGGACACTGACTTCCACCTCTTTGCCGTTGGGGTCAAGTACTTCCACTTTGATGGTGATGTGTGGATATAATTCTCTACGAGCCGAGGCTGACCAGTTGCGGAGATGATACCCGCCGTTTAGATTCTCTAGGTCTCCGAGGACTCTGTTAATTTGGCCGGTCGGGGAAAGGGAGTCGACAAAGTTACTTGTCTTGGCGGCATTGCGACGCTGGGAACTTTTACCCTTCACGGGTCGGTTAGTGTTGGTATTGCGAGAAGCGGTAGACATTATTGTAGTGTCTTGGATTATCCAATATAGTTTCAGAGTTGATGTGTAGATGTTTCCAGAGTTGATTATAATGTACATCTCTCAAAACGAGTGATTTGGGAGGCTTTATAAATCTCCAGGAGGAACTTTCTCAGAAGGTGATTGCTAGCTGGTATGAGGGAACGAACTGAGCTATGACCCTAAGTTTATCGTGTTTGTGTCCAAGAGAACCTTCCGCATTAGGTGAGTGAATGGATGGATGAATCAATTCAGGGCTATACCTTTGAAGTAGGCTATGCGCTAAGGGTGAGTGATAGAGCAAAACCCGATAGACGGCTGCACAGACCTGTCGGAAGGACTAAAGTATATTGCAGATCAGTTGTGGCAACGATGAGAATTCCGTTGTATCATCCTGATGTTCGTTCGAAGATTCATTTTTAAAGACGGACATTGTATGACTTATCTTTGAGGGTCTAAAGCTGCAGCACACCTCTCGTATATGGAAGAGCTGATCGCAGTATAGCAGGTAAGTAAATTGGTCAGTTGACTATCCGAGTCATATTCACCAGTGAACATTGTATTTGTCTCGGATTGGATTGGAAGTTGCTCATCACTCAAGTTGACGTTAAATGGCAGGATGTCTGGAAATGTGACAAAAGTTGTCAGGTGTAGCTGCGCAATCGTGGAATTGCTACCATTGAGCCTGCTCTTACAAGAGCTGAACATGTCACTACCGCTTGTGAGCATAGATCTCCACAAGCACTTTGTTGCGTTGACATAATGTGCACAAATTGCAGAATTGAGTCATTACGGAGAATTGTGCTTACACTAAAGCGAACATGGTAAATGAATGTTGTACAATCTTTGGTTTGTTTTGCTTAGACGTGTGGATTTGTTCCATCGGTGAATACCTTGCGTAGTTCTTCAGCTGCTGCAGATGTGCTCGAGCCCTCGC